TTTCAGTGACTAAATATTCGGAAGTAGTTCATCACTCTTTCTTCCTAGTCTGTCTTTGTCTGAAAGTGCATCTGAAACCTGTCCCCCATGGGTGACCCTGCTGGTATTTAAAATACCTGTGGCATAGCTTTCAGAATCACAGCAACTCACAAGCCACCACAGTAAGACTAACAGAAATATCATGTACCTCAGGTAGGATTCTCTTTTTAAAAAGTTAAATAATCAATGAGGTGAGAAATAATGTGTATGAACAGTTGAAAGCTGATCTGTTCTGTAAACCTTTACAAACAATTCATAAAAGAAAAGAAAAAACAAAAAGAATCGGTTGAAAAAATGTCAAAACAAGAAATAACTGCATAGTAAGATTTTTTTTTAGTTTGTAAAATAAATATTTGTTTTCTTAAGAATGTGTAAAAGCAAGCCACGTGTAATCCATTACAAGTGGACGTGTAGCTTACACCAAATCCACTGCCTTGGAGTTGATGCCTGCTCATAGCGACCCCCTAGGGCTGAGTAGAGCTGCCCCCAGGATTTCTGAGGCTGTAAAGGCAGACAATCACATCTTTCTGCTGTAGAGCAGCTGGTCAGGTTGTAGCCCAATGCTTAGCCCACTGTGCCACCAGGTGTTGTTGTTGTTGTTGTTGTTAAGTGCCGTCAAGTTGGTTCCGACCCATATAGGAAACCCTATACAGGGTGCCCGAGGAGCAGCTGGTGAGCTTGAACTACTGACCTTGCAGTTCAAATGGCTTTGCGGTCTGGTGCATTAACCCACAGCGCCACAGGGAAAAAGAGATTTTGTAGTCTTTTAAAGTAAGGAGCTCTGGTAGCATAGTGGGCATAGTGGTTACGAATTGGGCTGCGAACCTCAGGGACAGCAGTTCGAAACTATAAGCTGTTCCACAGGAGAAAGATGAGGCTTTCTGCTCCTGTAAAGATTTACAGCCTCGGAAGCCCTGTACAGGGTCGCTATGAGCACATAACAACACTGAGTTTGAAGGGGCAGTATTTAAAGATCTATGTGAGTACTGGTATTCCTGCTGTTTGGAGTTAGCCTCTGACTCACTGTGTTAGGTATTAAAATGCAAATGCAATTTTAATTATGTATTTAATGTGTTTGTGTTTATTCATTTATTTGTAACAGGTTGTGGAAGACTGGAAATTCATAGCCCAGGTTCTTGATCGGATGTTTTTGTGGACGTTCCTACTAGTTTCAATTGTTGGATCTCTTGGACTTTTTGTTCCTGTTATTTATAAATGGGCAAATATAATAGTACCCATTCATATAGGAAATGCAAATCAATGATCCTCTCTAAGGCGTTATAGTATGAGTTTAGCTACCAAAAGGCACATGTATATATCTTATGCACCTTGTACAAATTAAGAAAATGTAATGTTTAAAATTTGATGCAAGCTATAACAAGTTACCAGTTGCTAAAACCAGTTTATCTTACTTCCCTGTCTGTTATAACATCTAGCTGCATGACTGAAGGAATAAGTTACTAAATAACAGTTGATCTTCTAAAGCTCCCACCAAACATTACCTGAACTGTATTATTGGAATACTCAATGTTCATATCCTGGCAAAGAATTCTAATTTATGAAAAACAGTCTAGTTTTTGGATTATGCTGGAAATTTCTAGCTGTTTATTTGAAGACTGATTTTAAGCCCTTTATTTTGTAAAGATAGGCATGTTTAAGGTCATTGTTCCCTGTATTCTCCGGGTAAGAACTCATCTTTAGCCCACTATTATACTGGTCTATTAAGTAAGCTACTTAATGATGGCAATTCAGTGTGGTGCTCCTTTTGATAACCAACATTTAAAAAAAATGAAAAATGGGAATTGGGAACTCATTTATCACTTACTTTATTCTTTAGATGCTTAAACGGAACAATTATTGCATTAACTATTTTTATAGCTCCCCTTCCTTGTAAAATCATACACTAGACAGCTACATGGACATGTAGTTATTGTTGTTTTTAAGTGCTATCAAGTCAGTTCCAACCTATGGTGACCCTGTATAGGGTTTCCTAGGAGCAGCTGGTGAACTTGAACCACAACCTTGTGGTTCAAACCGACTGCACAGTCTAATACATTAACCCACAGCACCTATACCAGGACTCCGGTTATGTATAGTATATATTTAATGTTAATTTTTAATTCATTTTGTCTGCATTTTTCATACTTAATAGAACTATGTTCTATATAAATTGTGGTAGCATTTTTTTTTTAATCCTTTCTTTTATAATAGTTCACTACAATGACATAAGTCCTATTTTTAAAATATGCCTATGGATACAATTGGAGTCCTGGTGTTGCGCTGTAGGATAAGCACCAGACTGCTAATCACAAGGTCGGCAGTTCAAATCCACCAGCCACTCCTCAGAAACTCTATACAGGGTTCCTGTGAGTCAGAATCAATGGTGTATAAGGTTTCTTAGTGGCTGGTGGGCTTGAACTGCCGACCTTGTGGTCAGCAGACCATCCTACAGTGCTACACCAGAACCCCAACAACAACAATGGATACTGCAAAACCACTCCATGAAAAAACCATCTTACTGAGATTAAAGATGGTACAGAAGTCTAATCTGACAGTAAGCACATTGTTCCATATCTGTTATGTTGTTGTTGTTGTTATGTGCCGTGGAGTCGGTTCCGACTCATAGCGACCCTACACAGGGTTTCCGAGGCTGTAAATCTTTACAGGAGCAGAAAGCCTCATCTTTCTCCCGTGGAACCGCTGGTAGTTTCGAACTGCTGACCTTGCGGCTTACAGCCCGATTCGTAACCACTATGCTACCAGAGCTCCTTCTATAGTTCTATTTTATTTTTTTATTCCGTCCATTAGAATAACAGAATTCAGAGTTGCAAGGGCCTTTGACGTAACTTAGTCTTAGCCTATTACTGCTTATTCAGTACAGTATAATAAATGCCAGGTGGTTGTTGATGTTAAGTGCTGTTGAGTCAGTTCCGACTCACAGCGGCTCTGTTTAAGGTTTCTGAGGAGTGGCTGGTGAGTTTGAACCTCCGACCTTGCACTTCAAACCGACCTTATGGTTGAGTGCTATCCTACAATGCCACACCAGGTGTCCTGGGTACGCAAGTTAAATTCCATCTAAATGTCCCTGATCCCACTATGACCAGGAATTAAAAACTGATAGATATCTTACATTCGATTTAGCTCCCTTAGGTCATAAGAAAACAAACGACATATATTTATAGTAAGGTACCCATCTCAGTTCAAGTCAGCACTCTCTGGAAGGCAGAGGGCTCTGTCTGATTTGCATTTTATTGTAGGCAGGTGTTTCCTGCCATTGAATGCCATGGTCTGGTTTGATTAAATTGCTTGTTAGCTATTGTAGCTTGCATACATCCCAAATCACTCTGATGTCTCCCTTACTGTATTTAGAATTCTTATTTATAAATAAATTTTATAAATATGTTCCTTTTGACTTAATGAAACAGAGTCATAGTGGGCTGCGGTTTTTGTAAGTTTATTTTATAAGTTTATTTTTGCACAGGAAAAGCATTACAGTGACTATAATTTTTTTTAATGTTTTATTGTGAACTATAATGTTTTATAAAACGACGTCTGTGATTCCTCATCTCTGCTGATATTTAGTCAGCGTGATGAAGCAGAGTATGGGCTTTGAGCTTTCTTAATAATAGGTCTAAAGCAATAGTCCTCAACCAAGGGCATTTGACAATGTCAGAGGACATTTTTTTGTTGTCACACTGGGGTCGGGGGTTGTTCTATTGGCAGCTCATGAGTAAAGACTTGTTGGTAAGTGCCATCGAGTCGATTCCGACGCGTAGCGACCTCGTATAGGGTTTCCGAGAAGGGGTGCATTAACTCACAGCGCCATACCAGGACTCAGACCCTATAACGTACATGACAAAAGTCCCCCACCTCAAAGAATTACCTGACCCAAAATACCAGCAGTGCTGAAGTTTAGACACCCTGCTTTAATGAATATATGATCAGCATAATTTTTCACGGTATAATAAGTAGTTGAGCTCTTTTAGCCCTTGTTGTTCTTAAGTGCTGTCGACTCGGTTCCGACTCATAGCGACCCTGTATAGGGTTTCTGAGGAACGACTGGTGAGCTCGAACCGCCAGCCTTGCGATTCAAAACGACTTTGCAGTGCTGCGCGTTAACCCACAGTGTCACACCAGGATTCTTGAAAATTAGTAAAGAGCCAGAAATTCACAGAAAGGACCGGTAGTAAGAACTCCTTATCAACAAGGAGATCATGAGCTACTTAAGAAAACTCACTGGGAAATTTCTGTGCTATGGAACCAAAGGGCTTTTCACATTTCGGAACAAGTTTTCCTATCTAGTTATGTTTTGACCACTTAAAAAAGTGTGTGTGGGCATTTTTTTGATTTAGCCCATCTTCGTATGTTCCATAGCATAACATACTACTTATCCTTGGAGAAGAATGATCCTTTGACACTTTTATTTATATTATCAGAAAGACTGGTTAAATATTACTTTCTCCATAATAAATATTGACATTTTTCTTGCATGATTCTTTTTTTTTTAATAACAAAAATCAAGACAATTGAATAACAAGTAAACCTCGGCTTATCAGTCACAAAGTCTGGTAACGCAAGGTATGATACTCTTAAGGAACAGCCCCCTCCCGCCCCTATCCCCACCCCTTACATAAACATCTCAGGTAAGCACACAGAGTTTAGTGCTTACACATCGTCCCTGGCCATCAAAGGTTGCAGGAACAATCCTGCTGTCCCTAAAATGCACACCAGGATGAAAACCCACAGAAAAATACGATCGATCACCATGGCAACGTACTTCCAATCGTCTTGAATCTGAAAAACAAAAATCATAAACGAGGAAAAGAACCTGAAGGGAAAAGCAAATCGAACACATTTTCTATATCAAATCTTCACTATGTTTTAATAACCGAAGCCATTTTATCCTCATTGATGCAGCTCAAGGGACGCTGCCAGCCTCAAGTCTCTTTTGATGCAATAGAGAAAACAGGTATATTTGTCATGTCAACTCAGTTTCAAATCAGAAATGCCTGCATGTGTACATAACCTTTGAGTGTTTTTAAAAGCTGAATTCCAATTTATAAAGTTAGTAAAACCAGTTACATGAAGGACTCTAGGATTTTGTTAGAATGGCGAATACAATCCAGCATCATTTACCACTGGTTCCAAGTACTCAATCATAGCCAGTTGTAGATGTTAATTTTCTTAGGATGTTTTCTCAAAAATGAAGTAAGCACTTGAGGACAAGGCTACCATCATTCCTCCTCTCCCACTACCCCCGCTGCAATGCTCTGCTAACCAAATGTCAGTTTCCATTCTTAAGGCCAACATATCCTGGAAACTATATGATAGAACAGGTTGAAAATCAGCAAAGTGCAAGATGGAAGGAACACCAGGACTAATTGTATATAATTCAGCTTCAATTTAGACTTGAAATAGGAAGGAGAATTATATGTTAATTATACTCCTAGACAATTCAGAAAGCCAAGAAACCATAATTGAATTGAGAATGAGAGAGCCCATGAATCAACTGATTTTGAAAAACTAATCACATAATAAAGAGGCAGCATGTGATTTAGTAATTTAATTAAATGCACCGAGATGGCTGGGAGGCCAGGATTTTATTTCACATTTCTGAGCTTGAGTGGATGTGTCCTCTTGGTGACTTGAAGGAGACACAGGTACAATTAGAATGATAAAACCATGCTTGCACAAGGTACTTTATTTGCATTACTAAGATTTGGTAGCTAAGTGCTTCTTTTAACTAGGCAATACATTCTATGATTCCTACCCACCCACTACCTACTAACCTTCCTAAAGCTCCAAGAGGCAGTGGATGAGAAATCACCACTTGGAGAGATTTTTATTGTTGTCCCAGCTTGCTCCTTTCTAATTGTGAGACTCTGGGGAAACTGTCTCAATTTCCTGATCTGTAAAATGGGATATTACATAGGGTCATTGTAAGGAATAAATAAAATAATGCCCCCGGCAAAGAGTCCTCAATGAATAGTAACTATGATATTAATGTTGATTAAAAAAATAACCTTTATCCAAGAGTACATCTCCCTCTGTCAACAGTGCACACGGTTTAGCCTTGTAAGCCTTGTGAACAAAGATGGGACGGGGGCTAAGGCAGAGATACATGCATTGTTGTTGTTGTTAAGTGCCGTCAAGTCGGTTCCGACCCATAGCGACCCTGTAACAGGGTTTCTGAGGCTGTAAATCTTTACGGGAGCAGAAAGCCTCATCTTTCTCCCACGGAGCAGCTGGTAGTTTCGAACTGCTGACCTTAAGGTTTGCAGCCCAATTCATAACCACTATGCTACCAGAGCTCCTTGGAATATGCGTAGTGCTGCAAAAAAAAGCTAGGTGCAAGGGAATTTTATATCTAACTCTTAAAGCACAATGACTCTGGAAACTGAAACTAATGGTAAGTAGCAGGTAGGTCAGAGTTGGGCAAAATGAACTAGCACAAGCTACCGGATCCTTCTCCCAGCCCATCCCTGATGGAGATGGAGACGCCATGGAAACGGGAGGGAGAAAGTTTTGTAAAGACGAGAAAGCTGGAAGATTAGTCTGGTGAGTGTATACACGACTGTGCAGGTGGAGACTGGAGGTGAGATCCAGTCAGGAGGGAAAGGCCGAGGGCAGCATTGGTGGCATGCTATTTCCCCTTCCTCTTTGCCCCTTTGTGATCTGCCCACTCCCAGCCAAGTGATGAGCTCAGGGTGTCTCTTCTGAGAGCAGCAGAGACCAGGTGAAGTGAAGAGTAGAGAACAGGGCCCAATGACTAGCCAAAGCCGAGGTCTTCCCCCGTCCCCTCCCCACATGAAGAATGATGTAGATTACTGCCCTTGGTTTCGACACATGGCATGATGTGGGACCTGAACACAACTGACGACCCCAGTGAGTTGCTATGGAGTTCACTCCAACTTGTGGAGACCCCATGTATGTAGAGCAGAACTGTGCTCCACAGGGCTTTCTGTGCTGTGACCTTTTGGAAGCAGATCAGCAGGCTTTACTTCCGAGGTACCGCTTAAAGGATTTGAACTGTTAACCTTTGTGTTAGTAGTCCACCACTAAAAGTGAGTTGACGGGCCCAAACCACACAAACATGGCCATTTGAAAGAGAAGATATGGAACATATAAAGGGAGGTCAAGGATTTAAAATAAACTCTCTCCTCTGAGGTAAGAGAGAATATTAGAAAGATTAAGTAGCAACAAGCAGGTTTACAGAACCCAGTAGGTATATGGGTGTGAAAACCAGAAATGCTACATAAAACACTCAGGAAGTGGGATAGTTGGCAGGGCAGATACAGCCAAGAGAGAACAGTGAGGTGGGAGGTGAGATTGAGGGGCGCTCTCAGCAGAGAGAAAGAAGAGGTGGGAAATGGAAAATCAAGAGATGCAGAAGCTGGAAGCAGATCCGTACAGCAGGTGTTTAGGGAAAGAGAAAAATTCTGAGGAGGGATCTTTCCAAAAATATTGACCTTGAATTTCCCAGAATTAAAAGAAGATTAAAAAAAACCCTCAAAATCAAATGGCTTATAAGAATACCAAGCAGATTAGGAGGGACCTACATATGGACATGCTGTTTTGAAATCACCAAATAACAGATACAAAATTCTAAATACATCTGTAAAGAAAGTCTGGATTACTCAAAAATGAATACTACTCAGATTCATTTAAAACTTTTCAACAGAGGCACTGAGACAAAATGACCATGGAATAATATTTAAGTATGTCAGGAAAAGAATTCTATCTCTAGAATTTTGTATCCAGTGAAACTGTTATTAAGTCGAAACTGACTACATTGCACTAACAACAACAACAACAAACTCTAAAAGGCACAATACATTTTTTAAAATTTTTTATTATTAAATGTTTTTATTTTGGATTGAGTGAAAGTTTCCACAATACATTTTTAAGTGCATAAACACTTTTAGGAGGTACACTAATGAGAGAAATGAATCCAAGAGGACGCCATATGATACAAGTGAAAAGTAAATGATTTAGGACTTCCGGCAAGATGGCAGACTAGGCAGATGCACTATGCAGACCCTCAACAACAAAGATATGAGAGACAAAATCAAACAAACACAGATGAAAATTTGGGCACTCTCCACTCCAGAAGAAAGGTTAGAGATGTGATGGAGTGTTTACTGGGAGGAAAGGCCAAGTAGGGATTGCTAGAGAGGGAGACTGACTGGTGATTGGCTGGCCAGACACAGCTTGACCATCTCATGAGAAGCTTTGGTAATGGAGGGAGGCCTGGCAGAGTAGATTTGCATGGATGACTGAAAAGATGCAATATCTTCTTTTTCCCCACACTCCTCTGGTGACTAGAGGTGTGGCCAGCTCCCACCCTCATCCACCCCAGTGCAGACCTTACTCTCCAAGAGTTTGGAGCCACGTAGTTGGGAGCCACATTAGTGTGAGTTGGGGACCGGCTGCGTTGCTTTCGTGAGCTGCTTTGGTGCTTGGATTCAGATGGACTCAACTCCGGGCCCACAAAGCCCACAGAACCACAGGATGCCCATCACACAATAAGGGGAAAGAGGGAATCCTGCAGACAGTTCAACTTTCCCCTCAGAGTACTGAGCAGAAAACTTTATTCTAGCTCTTGTCATCCTTTTGTTGAACCCAATGGCTGGTAGACCAGATTTCTGCTTTCTCTGGAAAAACTGGAGGATCTAGCAGTAACAGACTCCAAATGGGCAAAGGTGAGCAGTACTATCCCCTGAGATAGGATACTAGTTAGCCATAGACCCCCACCTCCATATTCCTATATTCAAGATGGTTCACTAATTGACCTTTTTTATCCCTTAAATTTTATTTTGTTGTTATAACAAAACACACCAATTCAACAGTTTCTACACATGAGGGGGATTCAAAAGTTCATGGAAAAATGGAATGAAAAGAAAACACAATTTTTCCAAGAACTTTTTGTGAAGTTCCCACATATATCATTTAGCAATGATTATACTTTTGAGTTGTACAACCACATTCACGTCCTTTTCTAAGGTGTTCTTTACTCATTAACAGAAACTCACTGCTCCCTAAGGTTCTTCCTATTTAATCTTTCAGTTTGCTATGGACTCCTGACGTGGCATTGTAGGATCAACACTGGACTGCAAACCAGAAGGTTGGCAGTTCAAACCCACTGGTTGCTCTTCAGAAACTCTATACAGGGTCACTATGAGTCGGAACTGACTGGTCAGCACTTAACAACAGCAACAATGATGTCATTTTGATTCCTTATAGATAGTTCTTAAAAGAGCATAATGTTCTTTTAAGTTGAACTCTACTGGTTCAACTACTGTCCGGTGTTAAGATGGTTCAGGGGATATTTCTGGTCTAAGATTTAAAGATTGTTTCAGGGCAATAGTTTCAGGGGTTCATGCAGTTACCATGGCTCCAAGAAGTCTGGAGTCCATGAGAAATTGAAATTCTGTTCTGCACTGTCTGCCTTTTGATCAAGACTCTCCTATGGAATGTTTGATCAAAATGTTGGTGGCCAGGCACCATCCAGTTCATTATGGTGAAGGAAGGAGTTGTTCATGGAGACAATTTGGCACACATTCCATAGCCTCCTCCTATTCCTGATGTTCTGTCCCTGTTGCTCCAGATGAATAGGGATCAGTTTTTGTGCCTTGGATGGCCTCTTGTCAGCTTTTAAGACCCCAGGTATAAGAGAAGCACTAAATATACTATTAGGCTAATTAACTGGGATGGCCATGAAAGCACGTCCCTAAACCTCCTTATCAAGGAAACAAAGCCTGTGAGGTGTCTGGTTGTATATAAGCAGGCTCAGTAGCTATGTTTCCCCCACCCCACCGCATTGTTGTAAATATCTCTCTTACACAACTTTTGCCAATTCATCTTTTTATAGATGTACAACTTATTGACAGCAATTACAATAATCAGCGTTCCAACCCTCCCTTTAATGCGATTTTCCCATCTCTGTTAATCTTCCCTTTCCCCTCTCTCTTCCACCTACTATTAAACTGTGGTCTCGATACATTTGCCTTTTCTTGTATTTTTATATAAATGAGGTCATACAACATGTATCCTATTGCAACTGGCTTACTTCGCTCAGCAGAGTGTCTTCAAGCTCTCCCCATACTGTAACCTATATTAAGACTTCATTTCTCTTACTGTTTGAGTAGTATTCCATTGTATGTATGGGCCACATTTTGTTTATTCGTTCATCTATTGATGGGCATTTACGTGGTTTCCACTTTGAGGCAACTGTACTGCAATTCACACTGGTGTGCAAATCTCTGTTTAAGTCTCTGTGTAAGTCTTTGTTTAAGTCTAGGAGTGGAATTGCTGGATCTTAGTAGTTTTGGTGTTAATAGTGTGGTGTTAGGGGTTAATGTGCTGGACTGCAAAGTCGGTTCGAACAGCAAGGTCGGCTCCCCAGTTGCTCCTAGGAAACCATATACAGGGTCACTATGGGTTGGAACAGACTCGATGGCACTTAGCAACAATAACAAATGGTAGTTTTGGAGTGCTAGTGTGACACTGTAGGATAAGCACAGGACTGTTAACCACAAGGCTGGTGGTTCAAACCTACTACCTGCTCCTCAGAAATCCTACACATGGTGACTTGGAACCAACTTAATGGCACACAATAACAAATGGTAGTTTTAGGAGTCCTTTATGGACGACTCGTGGTGTGGTGCTGTAGGATAAACACCGGACTACTAACTACAGAGTTACTGGTTCAAACTCGCTAGCTGCTCCTTGGAAACTCTATATAGGCTTGTTGTGAGTCAGAACCAACTCAACAGCAGTTAACAATAGCACTGGTTCCTAAAAGGAACCCAGGTAATGTAGTGGGTTATGAGTTGGGCTATGAACTGCAAAGTCAGCAGTTCAAATCTACCAGCTGCTCCTTGGGAAAAAGATGAGGCTTTCTGCTCCTGTAAAGATTTACAACCTCGGAAACCCTACACAGGGTTACTATGAGTTGGAACCGACTCCACGGCACACAACCACCACCACCATGGTTCCTAACGTGGTTAAAGAGTCCGGCTGCTAACCTAAAGGTCAGCAGTTTGAACCTACCAGCCACCCTGTAGGAGAAAGAGGAGGCAGTCTGCTTCCTTATAGATTACAAGCTTGGAAACACTACCGGGCCGTTCTCTGTCCTACAGGATTGCTATAAGGCAGAATAAACTCAGTGGTGATGGGTTTTTGTTTTTATTTATCAAAGAGACTCTTCTTCTTTAGCAAATGGATTTAGCACCCTTGTCAAAAATCAGTTGACTATAGTGTGTTGGGAGAAAGATGAGGCTTTCCGCTCCCTGGAAGATTTAAAGCCTCGGAAGCCCTATATAAGCTTGCTATGATTCGGAACTGACTCGAACAACAACATACATGTATGGGTGTATTTCTGGATGTTTAGCTTTCTTGTCACAATAATTCTCAGTGTCTCCCTCCACAACATGTCTTGTTGTTGTTGTTGTTGTTAAATGCTGTTGAGTCAATGCTGACTCATAATGACCTTGTATAGGGTTTCTGAGGAGCGACTGGTGGGTTTGAACTGCTGACTTTGCAGTTCAAATGGCTTTGCAGTCTGGCGCATTAACCCACAGTGCCACACCAGGCCTCCACAATATGACTTAGACCCTCCTAAAACTCTCACTGGGTTTATCCACCACCGTTCAGTAGATTCCAACTCACAGAAACCCTATAACAGAGTAAAATTGTGCCGTAGGGTTTCTGAGGTTGTAAATCTTTGTTGTTGTTGTTAAGTGCCGTCAAATCGATTCTGACCCATTGCGACTCTGTGTAGGGTTTCCAAAGAGCAGCTGGTGAGCTTGAACCACTGACCTTGTGGATCAAACCAACTTTGCAGTCAGTCCAGTGCATGTAAATCTTTAGGCCACCACATAACAACAATAAATCATTAGGGAAGCTGACTGCTTCGTCATTCTCCCATGGAGCAGCTGGTGGGTTGGAACTGCTGACCTATCAGTAGCCCAACGTTAAACTCATTGAGCCACAAGGCCTCCTTTATTGTGCTCAATAAACAATATTTTGAATAAAGAGAATTTGTAATAGCCTGACAAAGGCTAGAGTGTGGGCATTTAGATACCCATCTTTAGTAAAAACAAATGCTAACTTATTTAAAGTAGATGAAGAAAGGTTCAAGAGTGCCTGCACGAGATATGTGTTAGTCAAATGAAAGATAGTTCCATTCTTCATGTACTTAGCGTCCCAAAACAGCTTCAGCTGAATTTAAAGCTATGTATGCTGTTGTAGATTTTCTTCTAAATGACCGGGATCAGCTGAAGGTTTTGCAGCATCGTTACAGGCGGATGTGCTTAGAGGGATGGAGGTGGGGAAAAGAGGGCTGTTACTGCCTCCTCTACTCTGCATGCCATTCATAGCTGCAAGAAAGAGAGGCTCCAACATTTGCTACCAGCATTAATTACCTACAGAGCATCAGGAGCTGAAATTAGCTCATTAATTAGTTCTTGCTGAAAAGCAACTTAAGGCAGAGCCAATTAATTTTAGAGCAGAGCTTTGTATAAAATTATCGGATGTGATTCTGGTAATCTTGGGGGTAAACCGAGGGTCATGCAGCAGCCAGACACATAACATTAGTGTAAAACTTTCCTATTCCTAGTACTTGCCATTTGCTCCAACATGATTTTTGGAGAAAATACAAATAAATTCACCCAATTAAAAATGGGCAAAAGCATTTTAATTCACAAAAGAAGAGAGAATATAGCCAGTATGAAAAAGACTTCAACATTATTATTCAACAGAACAAAAGAAATTCAGACAGCAGTAAGACATACTGGTAGTGGTGGCTGTGTGCCATCGAGTCAGTTCTGACTCATAGCAAACCCATCTAGGGTTTCCAAGGCTGTAAATCTTTATGGGAGTAGAAAGCTTCCACGGAGCAACTGGTAGATTCGAACTGCTGACCTTACAGTTAGCAGCCCAGTCTGTAATCCACTACACTACCAGGGTTCTTTGTGAGACACACTATATATACACACATAGTTGAGGATGTGGAACAAATGGAATTCTCAAACATTGTTGATGGGAGTGTCAGCTGGTTCCAGCACTTTGGAAAACTTAGTTACCTAGTAAACTTAAAAATTCATCAATCTAATCATCAAGCAATTCCACTCCTGGTATATATCCAGAAGAAACGAGTATATGGTTCCCTGTATATTAATGAAAAGTGGTGTGGCCCTATGGGATAAAGCACTGGACCACAAGGTCAGTTTGAACCACAAGGTGGGCAATTCAAACTCGCCAGCCGCTTCTTGGAAATCCTATACAGGGTCACTATGAGTTAGAAGCGACTCAACACTTAACACCAACAACAACAGCAATATGTTTATAGCAACATTATTCATAATATTCCCAAACTGGAAATAACTGAATGTCCAACAATTGTAGAATAAAGAAATAGATGGTGGTTATGGTGTAGTGAATTGTTTAATATGGCTTTTCTAACCACAGTGTTTGTAACTCCTACCAAATGACTTTTTCTTGATGGGTTTGGGTAAGAGAAGGTGGAGAAGATGCTGATAATATTATATGATTCAACTGTGTTGTTGTTGTTGTTAAGTGCCGAGTTGGTTCTGACTCACAGCGACCCTCTATAGGGTTTCTGAGGAGTGACTTGTGAGTTTGAACCACTGAGTTGGCAGTTCAAACCGCCCCTATACTATGGTGCCACATAATGTGAACACTCATTGAGGTGTACAATTTACTCTGTAAATTATAACTCAATAGGAAACAATGAGAAAGAAATAAAAATGTAAGCTTAAGAAATGTAAGCTCAGTTGATCAATAATTATTGGAAATAATCTGGCCTCAGGCCCTTTCCCAGCCTATCTCCTAATTCCTTTTTATTGTCATTAGCTATTCTAGTTAGCCAGTGGCTAACTTCAGGGTTCCATATATTCATGGGTTTTATTATCCCGTTTTACAGATGAGAAAACAGGCTCTGAGAGAGGAGGTAACATATTCAAGGACACACAGTTGGTAAGGGAAGCTGTCGCCACACTAACCTAAAACCAAAGCCACTGCCATCAAGCTGATTCCAATTTATAGCGACCCTATTTAGGCTGTCTGAGACTAAATCTTTACAGGAGCAAACAGCCTCCTCTTTTTCCCCTCAGAGCAGCTGATGGGTTTGAACCACTGACCTTGTGGTTACCAGCTCAATGCCTAACTCACAATACCACCAGCATCCCTTGGTGTGAACACAGGCAGACCCTAATTCCCTACCCCCAGTTTGAACCACAAGGTTGGCGGTTGAAACTCACCAGTCACTCCTCAGAAACCCTATACAGAGTTGCTATGAGTTGGAATTTGACAGCACTTAACCACCACCACCAATCCGTGGTCCACAGTGAACCAGTCAACAGATGTTTATTTCATGAATGAATGATAGATGTAATAATCAACACAGCCTTACCTCTTTGGCTTCATTTTGTGCTTTCATATTTTCAGCAATATATTTGACACTTTTGATAGCTTCTTTGATTTCTGGTGACAAAGCAGAGACGGAGAACACGGCATCGACAGACTCAGAACTGGAGCTTCTCGTGAGGTTGGCGCTGAAATTTGAGATTTTTATCTTGCGGTGGTGGCAGACACCACACCTGCCATCCTGGCAGGGATAACCTTCCTTGCAGCCTTTGGACTCGGCATTACTGAAGCAATTCATATTTGAGAGCTCAGCACTGTAAACGGATTTTGGTTTTTGAGTGTTTCCCTCGTTGCCTGCTGGCCTGGTCATGAACATTATCCTAGGAAGTAAGTTCAAGAATACAGTCTTCACCCACATGGGCATCGTGTGTGTGGTTGGGGTTCTGTAGTGCACGTTGAGTACAAAGACGGTGATGACGATGGACAAGGTTACAAAAATCATGGTGAACAAGAGGTACTCGCCAATCAGGGGAATGACCAGAGAGGTGGATGGGATTGTCTCCGTGATCACCAGGAGAAACACAGTCAAGGAGAGGAGCACCGAGATGCAGAGTGTCACCTTCTCGCCACAGTCAGAGGGCAGGTAGAAGACAAGCACAGTGAGGAAGGAGATGAGCAGGCAGGGGATGATGAGGTTGATGGTGTAGAAGAGGGGCAGGCGTCGGATGTACAGAGAGTACGTGATGTCCGGGTAGATCTCCTCACAGCAATTATACTTGATGTAGTGTTTGTAGCCTGGGGCCCTGATGATGGCCCACTCGCCACTCTCCCAGTAGTCCTTGAGGTTCATGGAGGAGCCGATCAGGACCAGGTCGATTTTTGCTTTGTCATAGGACCAGGAACCAAACTTCATGGTGCAGTTTTGGTAATCAAATGGAAAGTAGGTCACATCAATTTTGCATGAGCTCTTAAAGATGGCTGGTGGAATCCAAGTCACTTCTCCTGTGTATTTGAGTAAGGCTTTGGTCTTGTCATCTACCTGGAAATCTCCAACAGCGCTGCAAAGACAGAAGAGGCATGGTGACGCATTATTCAGGCCGGCTGCTCACATTGCCATCGTCATTGGGTAGATGGCAAGTAACTATTAGTAAAATGATGGAATATGAGAGCTAAGTGTTGGAAAAGGCTATCTAACTCATCATCTCATTTTACCAACGAGGATACTGAGGGCAATGAGGGATGGGTGGATGAGCTGGCAGAGTGGAGACAGATTCACCCAACCCCCAAATCTAGTATGCTCGTCACCTGCCAGAGCACTTCAATAGTTTTCTCCTCAACAGCACAACTCCCAACTTGGTATTTATTGAGAACACTCCCAAAGACCAGAAAGGGATCTCCATCTCCCTTAAAGAAATAGCAAGTCTGTTTTGTTTCTGAGAGATGAAAAGCATCCTGGAAGCAGGTGTTTAGGTGGCTTTTGGGGAGGTTTGCTCACTGTCCCTGTGGTCTGGACCTTGTTAAATGTCTCCTCATTCAGTCTCCACTGAGTGTCTGCTGTGTGTATGTATGCATGCTGTTTCCGAAGAGTGGTTGGTGGGATTGAGGCCCCGACCTTGCAGTGTAGCGCTTATTCTACAGAGCCACACCACATACATGTGTGAAATCAAACTGTGAGAAGGAAGGGGCTGCAGAGAGCACCCCTGGGAACCCATGTCCATTAACCCTAACCCCATAAAGGAGATTATTACCAAAGTCTGCCCTCCAGTCCTGCTATTCATCGCAATCACCATTCCTCCCAGCACTGAGAATGAATAGTGGTTCTGTCTTTCAAATTCAGCATAATGGCTTTCACCTTCCATTTCCCTAACTTTTCTCTCTTGATTCTTTTCCCGTTCTCATCTGTTGATGGGCATTAGTCTGTCCTCACCCTTTGTGAATCATGCTACAATCAACATCCATGTACCTATTAGATTTCTTAGAGCTCTGCATTTGAAGACAATCAAGTTCTTTAAAAAGAACCACCACCATAGACGCTTTCTCTGTGTACTTGAAGAACTGAAAAAAATAATGACAAACCTAAACATTTAGAGATATCCTTGGGTTGACATCGTTATTGAATAAGAACATGCGAAAACAGAAGGGGACCTTTCCCCTCCTTCCTAATCTCTGTCTCACTGCCACCACCCTCATTTGGTTCTTTGGAGCAAGACAATCACTACACGTGGAGACTTGCTGCCAAAGCAGTTACCCATCTTTTCCTGGGTCAGCTAGTTTGCTCAAGAGTGCCTTGTAGGGTTCATAACATTTTTAGCTCTGCTTCACTTCGACTATACCCGCGATCCCCCACAAGGCCCCAAGAAAAGGGACAGAGATGAGAAGGGGGAAGTGGGGTAGGGATATTCACAGCCCCCAAGTGGGCCCGACCCATGCTCAGAAACTGAGGAGTCCCCGAAGGACTGGGCTGGGCTGGGCAGAAGGTTGCAAAGAACCCTGGGAGAACAGAAGAACTTGCTTTATAGCATCCTGAATCAATGTTAGAGCAGAAGGGAACTTGAGACCCTAAGGGTCGGCAAACTATGGTCCATGGGCTGGCTGCCTATTTCTTTAAATAAAGTTTTATTGGGTGACAGTCTACAAATTGTCTACAGCTACTTTGGCATACCAATGGCAGAGTTGGGAAGTTGTTACAGAGACGGGATAGTGAACAAATTCTAAAACAATTACAATCTGGATCTTTGCTGAAAAAGCTTGCTGACCCTCTCCTCTTGTCCAAGCTCATCTTACTGAAGAAACTGAGGGTCAGAGAACAAGGATACCTTGCTCAAAGTCCCCCAGAGAGCTTGCACACTAAGACCCAACACTGACAATAAGCTTACCTTGGTATGATGGTTAATTTTTTGTGTCAATTTGTCTGGACTATAGTTCCCAATTGTTTGACCCCAAACACTAGTTGCCGTTATGATCGGGTCATGTGACTTTATGCTGGTCACATCCTTATATGATTTAATCATGTGATTAAATCAGTTGCTCTTGGATAGAGCAGGTCATCTTCCATCATGTAAATCTAATGTAGTGAATGTAATTATTTTACATGTAATGCGCTTCCGTAATGTAATCTAATACAATTAGTCAACTGAGGTCACACCAGTTAGGGTGGATTCTAAAGCTAATAACTTTGGAGTTGTAGAAAGAGCAGAATCGTGATAATAATAATAGGAAAATCACAGCATAGATACAGGCACACATGCATGGGCAACAGAGGTATCATGTGAGGACCATCTGCAAGCCAAGGAAATAGGGAACACCTGGAGCTACTGGCAAGGAAGGAACAGACACGGCCAAGGACTTACATACGAGGCAGTCAAGGGAAGAGGAAGTGGAGTTCTGATATGCTAAGAGGCCCGACATGGTACCAAAGAAAATATCCCTCAGAAAAGAGTATCTCATTCTGCACGGGACCCTCAGCCAGTGAATCTGGAAGTAATGAAACAGCTTCCCATTTGTGAAACGAGGCTCTAGAACTGTGAGAAAACAAATTTGTTCTTTAAAGCTACCTGCTTGTGGCATTTCTGTTACAGCAGCAGTACTAGGAATCTAAGACACTAGGTTACCGGTGCTGATTCCTGCTCATCTGTGGACGAGACTCTGCTCACTGTGACTGCTCAGACCACAAGGCATGTTTGCTGCCAGAGGCAGGGTGCTAACAGCCATACCTCTACCAGAAGAGAAAGAAGATAAAGATGCAGCTAAGGAGCCATAGAAGGAGCTCTGGTAGCGTAGTGGTTATAAATCGGGCTGTGAAGATTTCTAACTGCAGGGTCAGCAGTTCGAAACTACCAGCTGTTCCGCGGGAGAAAGATGAGGCTTTCTACTCCTGTAAAGATTTACAGCCTTGGAAACCCTGTTCAGGGTTGCTAAGGGTCAGAACCGACTCGACAGCACATAACCACAACAACAAGGAGCCACAGAAGGAGCTCTGGTAGCGTAGTGGTTACGAATTGGGCTGTGAACCGCAAGGTCAACGGTTTGAAACTACCAGCTGTTCCTTGGGAGAAAGAAGAGGCTTTCTGCTCCCGAATAGATTTACAGCCACGGAAACCCTGTACAGGGTCGCTATGAGTTGGAACTGACCCCATGGCACATAACAACAACAAGGAGCCATATGGAGTCCTGGTGTGGCACTGTGGGTTAATACGCCAGACTGCAAAGCTATTCGAACTGCAAAGTCAGTGGTTCAAGCTCACCAGCTGCTCCTCAGAAACCCTGTACAGGGTCGCTATGGGTTGGAACCAACTTAACAGCACTTCACAACAACAAGGAGACATATAGTGGACACTCAGTAAAGATTTGTTGGATGACTGAATAACCAAGAGATAAATGAAGATCGCACCCCCACAGGGGGCATGAATGAAGGCTGGTAGCAAGGGACAGCAGAGGTGGGAGGGGGCTGTGCCAACAGGGTTGCCAAACCATGTGAGGTGATTTCAAAAGAAAACCAGGGAGGCAATGATTAACTGAGGTATCACTTTAACACAAGAGCTTAAATGGGGCAGGGGCATGGGTGGTGAATGTAAGGGAAAGACCATAATGGTGCTAGCTTTTGGAAAAATTTAAGTTGTCCCTTGGAGAGAGAAGAATGAGGTGATTTTGTTTAAAATGTTATTTTCAGTTTCAGATTCCAAGGAAATCCTTTCTGACATTTGCTCCTCTCCACATCCAATTTGAAATATTTCCTCACAGCTCTTAGAATCGTTAAAATCATACATCCTAAAACACTCCAGCTGCTTAGCCAAGACTGCTAGCAAGAAAGCAGTTCCAAAGCTCAAAATATAAGGTAAAACATATTTTACCCATCTTCTTAATTTTAGCTTAGCAAAAATTTTCTACACTCTGTCCAGTTCCCTAAAAGCCTTTGGACTGTGAGGTTTCTATGACAGCTCACGGAGTCCTAGTGTGGCGCTGTGGGTTAAAATGTGCTGAACTGCAAAGTTGATTTGAACTGCAAGGTTGGTTGTTCAAGCTTACCAGCCACTCCTTGGAAATCCTAAACAGGCTGGCAATAAGAATGCCAGCTCACAGTGAAAGGAAGACTCTCTGAATGAGCTGGGTTTATCTTGTACCCTACTTCTTCATGAACCAGTCTACCAATACAAACTGCATGGAAGAAACGTAATTTATAAACGCTGTGTTCCTTGGGGAATGAGTAAACAAAATAGACTTTGAAGTGAATGGTCAAAGACTCTCTTTTGTTTTGCCAGTGATTTGGCAAAAAGATACAGCTTCACCAGTCCTAAAACTAATCTTTATGTTAAAGCTAATGTTACTAACACGAATAGTAAACCATATTCATTTCTAATAATGACATTAAAAACTAAACAGAGTAGATTAATTCTATACATGTTTTGTTAGAAAAAATGTTAATAATTAAAATACTGTTAACTCTAGGTGGCACCAACGATTAACACGTTCGGCAGCTAACAAAAAATGTGGAAGTTTGAATGCACCCAGAGGGACGTCAGAAGAATGTCTTGGTGACCTACTTCTGAAAAATCAGCCACTGAAAATCTTCTGGACACAGTTCTACTCTGACATGCACAGGGTTGCCATGAGTTGGAATCGACTTAACAGTAAATTGTTCGGGGTTCTAGAAAAAGCACAGGTGCAAAACAATTTGGCAATCCTGGAGAATAAAATAGCACATAATACAAAATATGTGGACTCCTGGTGTGGTGCCGTAGGACAGGATTGGACTGTAAACCACAAGGTCGGCAGTTCAAACCCACCAGCTGCTCCTCAGGAACCCTATTCAGGGTCCCTATGAGTCAGAACTGACTTAATGGCACTTAACAGCAACAACAATGCAAAAACTCAATTAAAATTTCTATTTGCCCAAAAGGGCCTAACGTGGAAAGGGTCAGCTTTGTGTGGGCTTAGGAAAGACAGGTTTTAGAGGAGCCGCAATGGAAGACTGCCAGGGGAAGACTGGGGAAAAGAGGAGAAGCTTCCTACAGTTGGTGGGCTCAGGGGAGACGCTCTAAGTGGCCGCTGGGCAGGAACTAGTCTGTGTGCAGCTTTCCTGGAATAGAGGATCCATGCATGGCCCTCTAGATTCACTCTTCCCAAATACAACTTGGATGCAGCTGCCCAGGCTGGCTGGGATTCCAGGGTCTAGAGAATTCTCTCCACCCTGTGCCTGGGAATCCCGTTTGACCTACTAGTGTGGCCTCCGGTCCTTTCTCCAAAAGTACTGAGCCCTTAATGGGAGGCACTTTAGCGGGACACTCGTGCAAAAAGTGTCTGACAGCAGGATCTGTCTAGATTGCTAGGGAGTGGGGAGTTGAGGGTGCCCAACGCAGGCCCTCGGTTCACAGTGTCAGGCCCCTGCATTCACTGCTGACAGCCCTGAGAGGACTTGAGTGGCCCTGGCCCCTTACTTGTTATACAGTACGATGTCTGGCTTCCAGATCTTCTGCGCAGGGACACGCATGAACTTGGCCCCGTCATAGTCAGAGGGATTCCACTTCAGCTTGTAGTCATTCCAGATCTGGGGAGGTAGACAGGCAAGGATAAGGACCAGTGTGCCTTTACTTCTTGACACAATCCATCTTGCTGACTCCCTGCCCCTGCGTCAGATCACTCTGGTCCAAATTTTCACGTGGGCAGAGTGAGCGCGAGAACACAGGGCTAGGAACCTGCAGGCTGCCTCCTGACTCTGCCACTGCCTCTGTAGTCCCTTTCTGGGCCCTCATCAGTCAGCTAAAGATTGTGCGTGCTTTTTCTAGACCACTTGGAGAACCAGGGTTCAGCCTCTATGCCTTAGCTCCTATTTCCACCCCCTCAAACAGGCTTTTTTCAAACAAGTTCCCCATCAAGCTCCAACAAGAGGTGCTGTTCAGTCATGGATCCCTCTTCCACCTCCAGGTTGCATGCTATTGACTTCAGAAGGATTCTGGGGACAGAACGAATCATGATCTCCTCAGGGTCCAGGAAGTGTTTGGGAGCATAGGGTGGGAGGTCAGAGCTGTGAGCCTCTGAGGAAGGAGGGGTGAAGCTACAGCCACAGCAGACACAAGTACCAGAGGGCACTGGGCAGGCACCATGCCCATCTGCTTTCCAGTCACCTGAGCTGAGCACTCAGCTCGCACCCTTGGAAGGTCATTCTTGGGCCAATAGGTCATTATCTCCCTCTCAGCATGTTTGGACAAAGTCTCTCGAGGAGAAACCATGGAAGCTGATTTCTTTGGCCTCTATTTGACCAGGGGAAAACAGCACCTCCATCCCCACCTCACACCACCACTTACAACATCCAATCTTAACTAAAGGATTGGAAGGAAGTGGTGTCAGACATTTCCCTAGAGCGGGCTCATGGCTCAGTCCTGGGTCTGCCTATTTTGTGTGACCAGGAAGAAGATCTCTCCCTGTTGTATGTCTGTCTGTAACTTGAGAAGCCAGGCCCTGCAGTCCTTCCTGAAGAATTGTAACTTGGAGCACAGGAAGAGACAGACTGGACCAGTCAGTGGCCCCAGTTGTGAGTCTCCTGCGTGATTGGGCAGCACATAAAGTGGGTACCACCAGGGGGCAGCAGTGTCCAGGTCCTGCTGAACTTACTTGCTTCAGCCACAGGTTGGTCTCCATGATCTGGTTGACTTCATCCTAGAGAAATTAAAGCAAGCAGAGGAGTAAATCACAAAAACAAGACTGGCTCAAGGAAAGGTTGTTCTAGAAGCCCCGTACCCCACGGCCATGGTGCATGGCTCTGGCACTCACCACCTTCACCAGCTGAGACATGGATACTTCAAACTGGATGATGACAGCGTCGGACACGTTGGCCACAGGTCGGATGAGCTCATTGTAATCTTCAAATAGCCGTTCAAACAGACGGTGCTCAGCCTCAGAGGCGCCGGCCACTGAGGGAAGTAGTTTTGTCAGACCCTGGGAAAATCGTCACTTGGCCCCCACCAGGGACATCATCAACTTCCTCTCTTCACTACTGAGGGTCCTCTGTGGGAGCCCAGACTTTCAGGCTAGCCCTGCGTTCTTGAGTTACAGATGGAGAAACTGAGTTCCCCAGGGGTTCCACCAGGTCACAGTGAGAGGTGGAGTGGCTTCATTATACTCTGGACTGCTAACCTCAAGGTCAGCAGTTCCAATCTACCAGATGCTCCATGGGGAAAAGATGAAGCTTTCTGCTCCCATCAAGAGTTACAGCCTTGGAAACCTTATGCAGGGTCACTATTAGATGAGTAATCAACCTTCATTATTACTACAGGGGAGGGGTGATGCAAAAAATCCAGTCTGCCTAGGGCAAGACACTCACGCTTCCACCATGGACTGATGACTAGTAGGAGGGTCACCTAGGCCCAGATGTTGTGCTTCCCAGACTGTGGGAGATTGCACTCCAGATCGGAGGCACCCCTTCATCCCAGACAGGACCCTACAGGGGTTTGGCCACTAGTCCTTTTAGAAGCCATGGTGCCCACTGGGTTCTCATGTATTCAGAGTGTGACCTAAGGTTCCTTCCGATACTGTCTTCACATCCTGATCGAAAATCTTTACCTCTCTGGAAACCCTTAGAGACCTCCTTTGCCCACAAGCCACACCCAGCAGAGATAAAGTCGATTGGGACGGCTGTCTGCTTTTCCTATTTACATATTCATAGACAACCCAAGAAGGAGATGGGAAAATACTGGGGTAAATCCAAACCTAACTTCTCCTGGCCTCATTGAAAGGGGATCTTGTCTGCTCCCTTTCGCCCCTGAATTAATTGAAGGAGGAGCCGCAGCTCTGTAAGGACAGCAAGAAGAGGACCTCAGCACGCAGGGGAAGGACAGCGGCTTACTCAACCTCAACGCATTCTCCCAATGGACTCTTCGGCTCTGTGCCTGCAGGGAACATCTTGCAGCCTTGCCAAGTCGCTGGTCCTTGCTATTTACCAACACAGCCACAGGCAGGACGACATTTTTCACACTCTCCCGTGTGAGTAGTTCACAGGCGGGGTACCTGACAGACTGGCTAGTGAGCACCCATCTAGAGACCAAAGCTGGAGGCAGGGAGACCCGCAGCTGCTTCGCGGTTACGGGTTTCAGAGAAACGCTGCCAGGGGCGTGGAGAGCGGATGAAAGGTAGGAAAGGCTGGATTGCCAGCTCTGGCCTCAGTCCCCAAACGAACCTCGCCTCAGTTTCTCCATTTATACGTAACTCGAGGAGGTGTGCGTCCGGGATGCACAGAATGGAACCAAAGGCCTTGGTGCACTAGTTCTGCAATCAGTACACCAAGAAGGGCCGTGACTCGAACACGCAGTCTGAGCCTTCCCCACGCCTCCCGGGAACGCGCCCAAATGACGCTCAGAGAAGCAGTGGGCCGTAAGGGAAAAGACATCCCCTACCGAACCGAGTCTACGTGAACTCCGAGCCACCGGCAACGGAACCCCTGGTCCTGCCCTCGCCAGTGCCGACCCCTTGGGTACTCGCGCCCCCTCTTGGGGCGCCCGTCTCTCCGGAGTCCCTGCGCACTTACCCGGTAGCAGCAGCAGAAGCAGCGGTAGCAGTGGCGGCAGCAGCGGTGCCTGGAGTGTGGAGAGCCCCTGGGCGCGGACTCCGCGCGGACGAGCACCCATGACTCGTCAGCCGAAGTGGCCACAGACTCCGCGCCGCTGGGCGGGAGACGTGGGGGGCTCCGTGAGCTGGAGCTCCAGGTGGATGCTGCCCGAGCGGACCCGATTGGACGGGTGCAGCCGTCGCGAAGATAGCTTCGCCCCTACCTGGCTCGCAGAGCAGACCGCGGACGCCTAGCTGTGCGAGGGGCGGAGACGCGCTGGGCTGTGTGCGCGCCAGAGGCTCTGGCTCCTCCCGACTTCGCGCCAATCTCGGGGCGCCGGTCCCGCCCACCACCACTAGGGCCCCGCCCACCACGCGGGGGGG